GAGCAGGAAGACTTGGCATGGCCAGAGAATAAAGCTGTGAAGCTAAAAGTCACACTGATGTACTAGTTCTTTCCAAGGGTAATATTTGAATTGGCTTCTTTGCTGTTGGGTAGCCATTTTGGTAGCTGTGCCCAGATAAGAGCAAGTCTTGCTGGATCAGACCAAGGAGTCCCTCTCTCCCTCTTGCACAGCACTTATTTCCATATAGCCTGGGAGGCTGACAGAGCAGAGTGTAAGGCAACAACACCCCCCCCCCACAGTGTCTGCTGCACTGTCAAATGTATACTTGTGACACCCTTTCTGCTCTATTGACTTCTGAAACTAGGCAGGTATCACAGTGAGAGCAACCCTTTCCGGGCACACTAAGTCCTGTGCCCCACACTAGATGGTAAGTGTTTCATGAAAGGGTAGATTAGGTTTTATGGCCCCACAACATTGTGGCTATTTTGTGTCACATTCTAGAATAGCTTATGTTGCAAGAAGCTGCCTCTCTGGATCTGTTCATGCTCCCTCCCTCCCTCCCTCCCATAGCCAAAAGGTCTCAATAATTCTCAAGGCCTTAAAAAGAGGACAGTCGGCCAATTGTTTTTGAAAAGACAAAGAAAGCAGGCATTTAATGTTTTTCTCAGAAACCAAGCTAGGGCCACCTGATACAAATGAGGCACTCGGATGCACAGGAAAGTTCCAGAGATATGGGCCTCCAGGCAACCCATATTTTATACTGGGGAAACACTACAGAAAGTTGTAGGGAGAAATCTGGATCTACTAGCTGATCACTGGACAGTTTCCAGTAGATTGGCAAGGATTTCTGTCCTCCAGTTTTTGAACAGCAGCAACAACAAAATGTCTCCCCATCACACCTAAGTTGTATTGCTGAAATGAAGAAAGCCTGAGCTGTAACCAGGAATGTACTTTTGTGTAGAAGGGCTGCAAGCTCCATTCATAGCAGGTGCCCAAGACAAACTCCTGGGCCGAGAATTCTTCCCATGTCTCTTGCACTGGGTGGATCTGAAGGTTCTCTTACAAAGTCAAAAAGATCCTGCAGACCTGAAGCTGCCTTCCTTGGCCACATGCAGTGACGGAGGCTCACTTGTCTGTAGATACTGCTGGACATGGACCTCTCTCTTTGTTTTCTGCGAATGAAGACAATGTCCTGCCTTATGCTCCTTGAGAGGTTGTTTGACTATGATTGAAGTAGCGGGTTGAGGGCAAAACTCTGGCCGTTGCAATGTCCTGTGTGTGCCTCTTGCCACTCCGCCATCTGTTTAAAGTATCATGAGAAATCTTGCAAAGAAATTCCCTGTTATACAAGGCTTCCAGTCTTGCTTCAGGCAGATGTAATATTGATGGCCACACCTGCTACTTAAAATGGGCTAGAGGGGAATTAATTTGACTGAGATAGGCCAAGCTGCCTGCTTTCATTCCCCACAGCACTCTTGGGTTGTTCTACCCTGAGGAGACCTGCTTGCCTCCTTATATTGCATTTGTCAAAATCTTTGTGCTGTGGATGTTCATAAATAAATAACCACTGTTCCCTGGGCAACAGCACTCCTTTACCTGATCTATTTCCAGAGAAACATTTGCTCAGGGCAAGGTTTCTCAAGCTCCCTGAGAAAAGCAATCAGCTCTGTTCACAGCAGAACTCAAGGCTGCATCCCTGAGAATGATCCCAGCAGCTTCTGAAATTGTGGATGACTGCCAGACAAACTTGGATTACCCAAGTTGAGGGTAATCACTGAAAAGCAGGTCCAGTTTTGAACTGTGTCTGGATGGGAGTCTGCCTGGGAACCCCTCGCATGCTGACTAGAATTGCTTGGAGGAAAGGCAGAGTAGCAAGTATAACCAAGAAACAAACAAGACTGTAAACTCAATACCCATTACCAAAGACATAAAGCCAACTGAAACTACTGGGTCCACCTGCATGAGGAAAAGGGATCCTGCGTGTGGGTTGCCAGAGGGGACAACTGCACAAGGGCTGAGGATTTGGGCATACCGCTCCTGTATTTCCACTCCCAGGGCTTGGCAGCCTGGCTTTTCTGACCCTGCTTCTTCTCTGGAGTGATCTCTTCTGCTCCTGACTCCTGTTAGGGGCTTGTTCCTTAGATCGCACTTGGCTTGAGCTGGTTGCTCAGACATTTCTCTGGTTGTGCTTCAGAGCCTGACTTTGCAGTGCCCTTCCTCTTCACTGGCAATGCAGTGCCTCTTAACTTTGCTGAACGGGTTTGCCTCATAGCTTACCCCTGGACTAAGGTTGAGCCAGCTACAGCAAGTCATACACAATCCCCCATACAATTCATCCTCAGCTATTTTCCTTGTCATGCTCCTTGCTGCAAATTACCCACTAGCATGGAGAGGGTTAATCCACCCTTCCCATTCGGTTAGTCTTCCCTGCATCTCCATTAATAGACAAACATGCCTATGCTGACATACAGTACATTAACAGTACATTAATCTGCTGCCAGGTAGTGATGTAGCCTTCCAGATGTTTGCTTGTGGAATTCCCAATATCCTGGCTACAGCTGATGGGAATTATAGGCCAAAACATTTGGAAGACCACAAGTTTCCTGCCCTTGCCCTTGAGATTTATAGGGTGGGACTGTGAGATTAATGAACTCCACCATTGCACTAGGCACCCTCCTCAGAAAGTAAACAAAGAGAGCAACATAGGATGCCGGGGCAGAAGAACCACTTCCACTCCGAGAGTACAGGAAGGATAGAACAAAATAGTATGCTTCTTGTTCAAAATAAATACCTTGTGTGTGGGGGGGTGTCATCTCCCTGGCCAACTTTCTGCAAGCATCTTGTCCAGTTGAGAAATCTGGAACTAGCAAAAGCTTGCACGTTTCTTTGTGACTCTGTGGTTGCCTAATAAAGGCGTTATCCTAATATGCATGTGGATTTTCTCTTACAAAAATCATGCCTCCCTGTTTGTTTGTTTCTTGTTTAGTCAGACTGGCATCCTGATCCTATGCAGATACTATTAAACGAGTATTCAGTCATATCTGTGGGCAAAAGAGCCACTCAACTCTGGCAGGATCTTACGTGGCTGCTCCATGCAGGGGAATGCTAAAGCCGTGCGGGTGGGTCAGATAGCGTGTCTTGCCTGCCCTGCCGTCATCCTGCTGGGAGGCAGACGGATAATATTCTGAATCAATTATGCCGATTACATTTGTACCCATCCTTTCCTACAAGGAGCTGCAGACAGTGTATTCCCCTCCTCCATTTTATCCTCACAATAACCCTGTGAAGTGCATGAGGCTGAGGCGGCAACTGGCCCAAGTCTTTTAACCAGCTCCATGGCTGCGTGAGGACTAGGGCCAGATCTCATGCTATCAGCCCAACACTCTGACCATGGCACCACGTGGCTTTCGGCACACCCTGCTTCACAGGCAGCCGGGAAGGATCTTCGTGGTTGGATCCGAGCATCCTTGGTTCTAGTACACACACACAATCCTGTGTTTGTTCATACACCGTCGAGGGCTGTGAGGTCTTGAGATGCAGAAGTAGGGCATGTGTGTGAAGGGGGCGTGTGTCCCATACAACTCAGTGGAGACTGTAGTAGCAAAGGTGAGCAGGAAATTAATGTACCCACCTGAAACACAGTTAGTGGGAAACAAACCCCATGAAGTTCTGTGGCAATTCTAGGTCTTCTACTCAGCAGAGAGCTCCAGTGAGTTTAATGGGATACACTCCAAAATAAACACATGCAGCATGGCAGGCTAAGATTGCAGGAGCCTGGAGCCTTCCATAGGAATAAATGTGGTTATGCTCCAGCTAAGAGGTAGCTGTTCCCCTGTGCCAATCGCACTGGTGGGACAAACAGGTTCTTCCCACTTTTAAATATTTTAATCCCACCAAGGGTTTCTTTCTCCTTTTATACCTCCTCCTTCACTTTGGGGATTTATATTTCAAAACATGGATATATGTACTGAAACGATTGCAAGATAATGGTGAGGACAGATTGTGGGTGGGCTGGGTTGAGGGGAGAGGACAATGGAGGCCACCATTGAAGGGGTGGGTGGGGCAAAAAAGGTGATAAACCAAAATTAAAAAGAAATAAATAAAAGGAGCAGTCACAAAGAGAGTGATTATGATGCCCTAGAGGAGAACGGATTTACCGTGCCGTGCCACCCTATGAACATCCTGAAAGCGAGGCCTGCTGAGGTCGATACCGGGGAAGTGGGCACGGGATTGGGATTGCAGCTCTGAGGCACAACTTCGGTGGAGCTAAAGCGGAGCACTGGAGACGGCTGCACGTGAGTCTCTAACGAGCCGCAAGCGATTCCCTTGCCCTTTGTCCCATTTCCTCTCCCGGGCCCTCCGGAATGTGCAGCCATCCGCGCTCTGAAGCGAGGCACGGAGAGCGACGACGGGCAGCTCCGCTCCCCCCGGCTCCCCGCCGCCCCCGCGCTGCAGCAGGCATGCCCCCCGCCTGTCTCCAGCGCCCCTCTCCCCCAAACTCTTCCCGATCTCCGCCCGCAGCTGCTTCCAGCACAACCTCGCCCAGCCGCCGCAAGGGAGAGGGTGGGTGCAAAAGGGGCGAAGGGAATTGCGCGGGGCGGCGCTGGGAAGGGAGATGGGACTGCCCGAAAGAGGATGTATTCCAGTTACTGCTCTTGCCCCACTTTCTCTGACGTGCGCCCTGTTGCTTGTGCTGGAACTCGCTTTCGAGCGCGCCTGCCTTATTTTAGCATCCAGCGACGATTGCCAGAAGTTGTAGGTGTCTTTTCCGCGCAGCGAGCTTCGCCCGGCATGAGGCTCTTATCTGGTGCTCCCCACGTGGGGCCGCCTCGCCTCGCCCCTCCCCTCCCCCACCGCTTCCCACATTCTGTTCTGCACACGTCACCGCCTTAACATTTTGGAAAATTCGAACCCACCAATTGGGGGCCAGCTGAGAGATGGAGGATTAAAGCGGAGCCGCCTCCCGCCTCACCTCCTATGTCTGCCGCGAGGCCCCACCCACATTTCTTAGGGCACGCCCCGATCCTATAAAAGGCCCCGCCTAAACCCGGCGTGAGTTATTAAGAAGTTTTTGCTCACTGGCGGCTCCCTAAGCGGCTGGATTAGTGAGGAAGACTTTTGTCCCTTTCCCGATCCCTTCGTGCCTTTTTTCCCCCTGTTGCGCCCAACAAGAAACATGGTAAGTGAGCCCTCTTTGAGAAAGGCATTTGGAGCCGCTGGGAAGCGGCGCTGCGCGAAGGGGAGAGAGACGGAGTTGGCGGCTCGCTCTTGGCGAGATCGGCCCCGTGAGACACGTGGAGGAGGGAAGCGCTCGGGGGTGGGATGCTGTGAAGCAGCGCGAGGGGAATTCCTGCATGAATAAGGAGCGGGTGGTGTTGCAACAGCGCGCACACACACATACACGAGGGTTCTTCAAAAAGTTTCCGCACTTTTAAAAACTCTTAAGAATTTCAAAAGCCAACTACATCACTTTTCTACATAGTCACCTTCCTTTGCGATGCGTTTTCCCAGCATCGTACCAACTTTTTAACGCCCATCAGCAAAAAAGATTAAAATATATTTATAAAATACAAAAATGCGGAAACTCGTGTATCTATACCTCTGCATTTTTTAAAAACGGGAGTAACCCTTGCGGACTGCCCTTTTGGCGCTCTGTCCTAGCTTTTCTCCGACTCTGCGCCTCCAGCGCTTAACTTCTAAACTTCGGGGAATAACAGTTCTGTCTAGAAAGACGTGAGCGCCCACATTCTGCTGTTAACAGCTCGTATCCACCCGCGAATGCTCACACTGAGAAGCCTTCCGGGTGGTGGTTCGGGTGCTTGGATGACTCCCAGCTCCCTGGAGACTAGAAATTCACTTAAACTAGCGCGCACGAGTCCTGAAAAATTTGCGTTTTAGCTGCACGCGCAAACAAATGTAATATGGACGTTCTTAGAGGGCAGAGGCAACTGATCCTGGTTGTATTTGATGAGTGGGAAAGAGAATTATCCTAGGATCACGCGCTGGCGGATTTCGATTAAACCACACACCGAGACGCTGGCGTGTGAGGAGAAAAACGTACTTCCAAGGGCCTTAGAGAGAATTCTGTACGATGCCAAGTTGGTAACCAGTTTCTTTACTGTTTCTGGGAAATGGATCCATAGGTCATGCGTAAGGACGTTTTCGCCCCAATTCCTCCTGTGAGCTGTGATGGAACAGTTTTGCTTCTAAAAAGCAGAGGTACCAGTACAACAGCACTCAGTTGGGTAACTTGATCTTCCTTGGGGCAGCGGAATATACGACCTGTTACGCTGGGCAGGACACCTTTGCTGCCTCATCTTCCTGGCCACGGATCTTACGTGCATACCTGCCGAGTGACGTTCAGGGGAGGGCGGGGGCTTCGAAAGGCGCTCAGGTGGGAATGGCCTGCGCGGGGGGGGGGAGTGGTCTGTTCAACGGCCCACCTCACCGTGTCCTGTTTGCGAGCGCCTGAACCAGAGCACTTGGTAGCTCACCCTAAAAATACTGTTCCAAACCACCCCCTGCAAACCGGCTAGGCTAAGCAGCTTAAGTGGCACTTATAAGACCCCCTCGAAACTGTGATCTCCGTACCTGTTGGATTTGAAAGTTCATCTTTACTTCGCATTTGAAAGCGAAAGTGGCCAAGTCTGAACTTGCAGGCGCGTGGCTTTGCTCTTGCAAAACAAAGCAATGGCCTATAAGGGGCTTTATAGGGCATTGCATAATGCCCACTGTAGATGGGCAGGACAAAATGTCTAAATAGCTTTGTAACATGTACAGCCCAAGTAAATTAAGGGTTGCAGAGCTACAAGCATTTCCAGGGCTCTGTTGCATAACTTGAAACAGCTGAGGGAGAGCAAAGCAGATGCAGTTGAACCATCAATTTTGGAAAGGGAGTAGCTTCTAAATTTTTTATTGGTAAAATGTGGAAAGACTGGAGTTTAATAAGGGGAAGGGTATCAAGGGAGACACTTCGTGTAGACAGGAAAAAAGAACTGCCAATCTTCCATGGTCTTCCTTATTTTTCTGACCTTTATCAGAAAGTTATCAAATGTAGATACCGTCTAAATTGGGTGTGGTTATCTCTAAATGCTCCATTTGTGACTTGGATCCTGTGCCTCTCAAGATCATATGAACTTCATTTGAGTCTTTGTCCCAGGTCTGGTTAATCTCCAGTGACTTCCAGCTGAAGTGTCTTGAATAAAAGTGGGAAACACCTTTCAGCCTGCAGGCCAAACTTCATTTAGGAGAAGCAGTGGGGGGTTGCATTCCATATAAAATGCAGAAAGCATCAGCGTATTTTTAAGTTTTACCTCCAGTGACCATCATTTTGGGAGTGGCCAAATGTCACAAAAACCAGGAGACCACCAGTGTCTGCGGAGAAGGCTTCTCCCATTTCCCTCTATGCTCCATGCCAGGCAGCCCCTGGGCTTGAGGTTCCCCACCTCTAGGCCAAAGTGCAAATTACTTCCATAATTGAATTAATTGCCTCAGGGTGTCTCCCATAGACTTTCCCAATCTGGTTCCCTCCAGATGTTATGAACTCAGCCCCTGCAATAATGTTGACGCATACTGAGAGTTGTTGTCCCAAGCAGCTGGTGAGGACTAGGCTGGGGGCAGCTCAGCTGTTGCCTGTCTTGGTTGTGTGCATATGTTGTTTAAATATCCCAGCGTGTATTGCACAGGGGAGCTGCAATTGCACTTTGACTAATGTCTGGATGGTGGCAAACCTGGCATGTATGAAATGGCTCACTGCAGTATATGCCCAATTTCTAGAGCTGCATGCAAATTTGATTAACTTTTCCTGTCTTGTATATAGCCTACTGGAGTACTTAAGAGCTGTGCGGGGTCAGACCAAATTCCATCTAGTGTGGCATTCAGTTCCCACAGGTACCAACCAGCGGCTGCCTGCCTTCTAAAAGGGAAGTGGTTTAAATGAGTCTGTTCTTTTCCTTCCCTGTGTTTGTGCTATGGGAAGGAGAGTAGCACTCCCCTGCCTACCTCAAAATCTCTTCAGGTGGGAGAGGCCTGGGGTAACCTCCCTTCTTTGCATAGCTATTGCTGAATACTGCCTTTGCTGAATACAGCTAGTTAAAACAAGCCTAATCCTGCTAGGGCTTTAAAATGCCTTGCTCTAGAACAGGTTCTCATTAATATGTAGATGAAGAAGCAGCACTTGCAGATGTAGGAGCTTTGTGTTCTTGAACTGCAGCAGATAATCTGTAGGCCTTTCCAATACTGTGTGAAGAATTCCTGTAGCTGTTAGAATCCACTTTTTGCAGATTAAAGGTGCAATCCTATGCAAGCCAGACAGGAAAAAGCCCAAGTCACTGTAATGAACCTCCCCCTCTCAACCTGGTACCCTCCAGACTGTTGGGACACTAAATCAGCACATAAATTTACTTCTGGGATTGCAGAGGGGAACAACTTCTAAAGCTGGTAGCAGTCAGAACAGGGGGTGGTGGACTGGCTCTGCAAGCACTGTGGGAAGGAGTAAACACTCATAACTTGGCTGGTGCTGGCTTAAGTTGCTAGCTTGAAGCAACTGGGGTTTGCTGGTGTCAAACATGCAGACAAATAGAATCCAGCTGCTGGTAGCTGATAATGCTTGGGGAGGGCCAAGACCTGATGGGGTGCTCTGCCTTTGTGTACAGCAAGTGACTCAAACAGGCGCATGAGACACGCCCAGGACCTCCAGTGCTGATTAGCAATGAGTAACAGTGTCTGGGATGCAACTCATGCTACAGGGCTGGGTTGCTGCTGCATCTCCCCCGTGGGTGGGTTGGCCTAGGACATTGTTTCATTCAAGGCCTGTTGCAAGTCTCATGTGAACTTCATTTCTGCAGCGGGGGTCAGGCAGTGGGGTGTGAACTAGCACCAAGCCCAGCATTCCCTGACCTGGGCAGGTTTAATGCTGCTGCTCTGTCACTACCTGCCCAAAACACATTCCTGAAAGAGGTTTTGGAGCTTCAGGAGAGGCAGGCAGCTCTAGTAGAAAAACATGAACCCAGTCGCTGGGTGTTCACTTCTGGGGAAGGCTATCCTGGCTGTGGTCTTTCAGGAAAGATGGCCTGTCTCTTTACACAGCCCAAAGGAGAACAGCTACTTCTAACAGCCCAGTTCCATTCATGTTAATTGAAATAAGGCTCACTGAAATTGCAGTTGTGGAGGGAAGTGGTGGCTCTCCTGCACTGGAGGCATTCAAGAGGTAGCCGGGCAGCCATCTGGCAGGAATGCTTTAATTTGGAGTTCTGGTGGACTATTTATTTATTTAGAAAATTTCTATGCCGCCCCATTCGCCGAAGCCTCGGGGCGGCTCACAAAACATCAATTAAAATATAATACACTAGACTAGATTGCCTTATAATCCCCCAACTGTCCTGTCCTATGGCCAGAATTTCCCTTAATGTCCATGGGATTACTGTTTGAATGAACAAAATTCCACCATTGCCTTGGTACTGCCTTGACATTCTTGCATTCAACAAAAACACAGAATACTTCTGGGAAGTGTTCACCACTCATTTCAAGCTAATTCCTTTCTTTAACTTAAGATAGACAAAACATACGCTGGAATTCCTAGTTGTATTCTGTTAAGAGTCTGAAGGATTGTGGGGGTATTTATCTTTAAGGCCAGCCACTGAGGCCAACTATAATTATATGCTACGGCAGAATGCAGACCAGGATCTGCTGATAGGTATTTATATAATTTTAAGTAGACTGGCAAGGACTTAAAATTGTCCCCTTTTAACAGGGACAACAATAAAATGATTCTGCTTACCCTAATTTGATCTATCACCAACCTGATGGCCTTGAACTATATCGGTCTACAACTCCCATCATCCCCAGCCAGCATGGACATAGAGTCCTGGAACTCAAACATACTCTCATGTTCATAATTCCATAATGGCTCATAATTTCAGCTGTGTTTCTGCATTTAGATACAACGATAGATCTTTCAAAGCCTGACATCATCTATTCCTGTTAACTGCCTCCTTAGAAAGGGTTAATGACGACTGATGTGGGTCTTTCAAACTGCAGCCCTTCCTGCTGTTTATCTAACATCTTAAGCTGCGGAGTCAGATGGTAGGAGCTAGCTGGTTTAAACTGGAGGTGGGGAAGAGAAGAATCCTTTTAAATTTAGGATTAAAGCTGCTGATTGAGCTCAGCTAGTGTTACACAACTGCTTGCTGTTCAGGCACCAAGGGAGGGGGGGAATTTGTATGCTCAAAGAGGAATGACCCTGAAGTGGTGAAAGACTTGGTGCTGCTCAAGGAAAAGATACTGTGCTCTTGACTTGGAACAAAAGTCTGTTTTTGCCCCTTAGCTGTGTTCACTTTGGAAAAAATTCAGGTAGAGACTTTGTTTTCTCCGCCGTTTTCGGGATAGACACAACCACCTTCCACAACTGTCACAGGCCAGATTACCTGTTGGCAATCAAATGAAAGCACTCATGTCATAACTGGATGAAACATAATCGTAATCCTAATCCTCTTTTCTTTTCTGGAAGGAACTCCAGATAGCCAGTGATGCTGCTCTGTTGCAGCAAGACGTCTTGGGGGTATTTTAAAGGTGATCAAACTCATTATGGCAGGAGCGTTAGTGGACAGATGCAAGCATTTATGTACTTAGAACTTCAGATAATACTTTGTCTTTGGGGTGCATGCTAGTCCATGAAAGCATCTGCCATAAATTTGTTCCTCTTTCAGGTGCCATAATTAACCTTTTTGCTTTAAAAATGGGTGTGTTTTCAAAAGTCTCTATTTCTAAGCCAGCAAAACATGTTAGCATTCTAGTACTTGAGATACTGGGTGTGAATCTCTTTCAGCCTAAAGACCGAATTCCATTTTGGAGAAGCTTTTGGGAAGCACATTCTGTTGGCAAATGGGGCCAAAGTACCAGCATATTGTAATTTAGCACCCCCATTGTCAGTGAGGAAGCCTTAGAGGCATTCGCCCCCTTTCAGGGTGTATGTGTGTGTGTTGGGGGGGGGGGAAATACTGCATCAAAGCTGGAAACCTGGTTGGGTGAAGGGGTTCTCAGGCCAGCTGGAGTAGGCTTCCAGCCACGTAGTTCTGTACCCCTGCTTTGTAGGAATTTGGAATCCACAGAAATCTAGAAATTTATCTGGAGTAAATTTGTCAAGTAATTTGTAGGTAAACTTTAAGAACTGAGGAGTAAATCCCAAGACTGTATGATGGCTATTCTTGCTTGGGATTTTTATGCAAGCGTGAAGTGTCAGTTTTGTGGAGAAGGTTGTTGCTAGCGAGCTGCTGGCTAAGATAGAGTTACACAGATTCACTGGTGTGTGTACATGAGCGAATGGCTGTAGAAACCTTGCCTCTTTGCAACTCTGGAGGGCAAGTCAGAACTTCTACTTCAGAAGGAGGCTAAGAGAACTGATGTGATTACTGACTCCAGGCCACCCAAGCAATTATGGGCTAAGTAGATAATTACATGCACCAGAGTTGAAGCTGCTGGACCCTATCTTCAGTGTAGCTAAGCCATGCCCTGAGAGCAGTTTGTGTGTCATTTCTCAAGAAAACAATGACCATTTTTTGCCACGTGACCTTTCTCAGTAGCAGGTAGTTCTACCACTGCAGTTGCCCTGCCAGGAGAGGTGTCGGTATTCTGAAATGTTATGCTACTGTTTCCCATTGCAGCGTGAGTGCATCTCCATCCACGTCGGCCAAGCCGGTGTCCAGATCGGCAATGCCTGCTGGGAGCTCTACTGCCTTGAGCACGGCATCCAGCCGGATGGGCAGATGCCCAGCGACAAGACCATTGGCGGAGGAGATGACTCCTTCAACACGTTCTTCAGCGAGACAGGAGCTGGCAAGCACGTCCCCAGGGCAGTGTTCATAGACTTGGAGCCAACTGTGATAGGTGAGCCTATTTGGTCCAGCTTCTCCTTAAAAATAAGTTGCAAGAGGCGCAATAGATGAACAGGTGATGTACACACAGTGCATGGAGGAAGTGCCTGCTCAGTCACCTGTTTAAAGGACAACAAGTAGAAGAGCAGGGCGCTCCTCTGTCTGAGGAAACTACAGGTCTGAATAGTCCAGCAGTCCCCAACTTTGTTCCCACTGATGTTCTAGCACCCACCGCTACCTCCAATGGTACACAGACGGCTCTTCACGGCTCCTTCAAAATATTTCTTCGATAAACAGATGTTCAAGTGCCAGGTTCTCTCCTCCTCCCTGTTCCTAAAGCCTGCCACCGATCCGCTGTTCAGCAGAGACAGCATGGCTGCTCCGGGGCCTGGCTATTCAGGAGGGAGAGGAAGTGCAAGATCAGGTGGGGGGAGCAAGCAGGGTTAGAGGGTAGGAAAGGAAAGAGGGAAGCCTGGGGTGGGGAAGGGCGAGAGATAGTGGAGAAAGGGCTGAGGGGGTGAAAGACTGAGGCTAGGGGCTGGGCGTAGTGTGAGAGCAAAGGAGAGATCTGTGTCGGCGAAGGAAGATCAGATGGGAGTGCGAAGGCCTGGAAGCAGCTCCTCCCATTTTTTCTTCTCTCCCAGCCTTAGCTTTGCTCCCTCTCTGTTGCTCCCAGCAGCCTCTCGACAAGCTAGGCCCCCACAGTAGCCTGTGTGTGGCTAGACACACCCTTCATGGGAGCCACTATGTGACGGCGCCTGCAGCAGGGTTCACAGGGTCAAAAGGACTGCAGCTTCCTAGAATGGATGGTACAAAATTGAATAGGCTGCCAAATAATTTGGTAAAAAGCAGCTTTATGCTGCGCCATCAAATATTAAATTCTGAGGACTTCGTCTCAATCTGTTTGGTACCAAGGCTCACTCTGAGAAGGCAAAATTATAAAAAATGTCTGTGGTCCTACTCAGAGTGCCATCACGGCCTGTCCACACGTGGGTTTGAAGAGCAGGACGCATGGTGCAACTTCTGCAAAGAGGTTTGCCATCTTGCAACGGAAATGGAATGCTGCCTTTGTCTACCCAGAATGGCTGCTGTGCGATGTGCCTGCAGCTGCAGAGTCTTTGCCTGCTGTTCTCCTAAAAGCACGATCCTGTGCTTGATGGCAGTGCAGGCTAAGTTGGGAAAGACGTTGCTGGCACTGCCAAGTCAAAATGCATGAATAGGACTTGGCTGGCCAAAGGCTGACAAGCCCAACTCCATATTGCCCATTTAGGATTCCTGTCACCACTAGCCATCCAAATGCTCCCCCCCCCCTCCATTATAGACTTTCCTTTGCTATATGTTGGCACTTCAATCCTCCTTAAATATCAGGTTTTTCTTAAAAGCCTTAAGTTTTCTGCAGATGATAAAATTCTGATCACAAAACTCAGCAGGGCTAGGCTGTGTGTTTCTACTACACCCAGAAAATCAAACTACCCTTTCACTTGATTGTTTCCACAGATGAAGTGCGCACGGGAACCTACCGCCAGCTCTTCCACCCCGAGCAGCTCATCACTGGCAAGGAGGATGCTGCCAACAACTATGCCAGGGGCCACTACACCATTGGCAAAGAGATCATTGACCTGGTCCTCGACAGGATCAGGAAGCTGGTAAGCGACTTAATCCTGCCCTAGTGAGAAAGACTTGCGTGGTTCCTCAACTTAACAGTGCACAACTTTTATGGAAGCTCCAATCTCTGTTGTGAAGGAAACGTTCCCCAGTTGAGCAGCATGGAATCCTTAATGCTGTACAGAGACTCCTGCAGTAGCAGGCAATGAGACCTTGTGTGCCACCTCCACCTGGCTCATCAAATGTCTCATCACCACCTTAGCCTTCTTTTTCCAGCTTATGTTGCTTGGGTGAAGCTCTCATTTCCCTCACTCTTTGAAAGCCAGGCCCAGTCCTCTTGGAAATGAGGTTGCATAATGCCACTAAATATCCTGCATTTGTTTTGCTATTCTCTGCAACCTGCTCTGTCTCCAGATAGTAAGGCAGGCATAAAAATTGTTGTAAGGTGGCTGTGGGGTTATCCTATCTGTAGCTTTGTTACAACTCTGAAGGTCAAAGTCAGCCTAATTTACTACAAAGCACCAAACTGGGTAGAGAGAAGAGATGAGCAAAACGGCTGAGAAAGGGAAGGAGAGGGTGAGTTGCTGAGCAGCTCTGCTTGTGGTAAATTAATGGCTGTTAGCAACCATCATACCTGACCACTGGCCAAGCGGGTGGGGGGAGCCAAAATCTAACATCTGGAAGGTCACATGTTCTCTGCCCCATTCTGTTCCTTTGGTTACAGGCTCTAGCTGCCTGGAAATTACAGTGATCTGGGGAATATCCTTAGGCATAGTTTTTGTGGGAAGAAATCTAATGTTGTTTTGGAACCTTTACAAAAGGGATTGAATCTTCCAGTATACTGCTTTCTGGAAATCTAGGGCTGCCAGCCTTCTGATAGTCTACCTGTATGACATTATTTCTAAGCAAACGTGAAAGCTATTCATGAGACCAGGAGGTTTCAGAATAATTAAAAACCATGCATGATCTGTTCCCATTTCCAACAGGCTGACCAATGCAC